CCTTCTTTCCTCCTCCCTGTTAGTTTTTGGTTTCGGCCGCCCGGTTCAATCCCAGATCTCTCTCAGGAGCAGCCTTGTCCCCCAGCCAAGCCCTCCAGCCTCTGCCCCCTCCTCTTTAAGGGTCCCCTGCGGGGCGTGGGGAGGAAGGGGAGGGCGCGGGGCCGGTCGCGGCGGAGGCGGAGGCGGTGGGGCAGCATCGGGGGTCCCGCAGCTCCAGCCGGCCGGGCAGGGCCACGCTGGGACCTCTCCTGGCCCCGAGGGGCTGCGGCAGCTGCGTCCCCCAGCCCGCAGCCCTCGGCAAACCCACCGCGCCCGGGCTCGTCGGGAGCGCAGCATCCCGGCTCTGTCCGCCCGGGGCCAGCCCGCCTGTTCTCTGCCCTTCCTAACTGCTCTCCTTAGAATATATAGCGGAATATCCTGATTCTTCGCAAGTTTTTATATTGTCCGTTGGCTTTAATTATTTTTGGCTCATCCTTGTTTCATGGGTGGCCATTCCAAATCTGCGCACCCAGTGTGCTTTGCATAAGCTGCGTTCGCAGCATCACCAGAGTTTTCTGAGTGGGGAGGATCCACAAGGGCTGTTGAGCCCAACTTTTCAGGGAATGGCCTATACAGGGATCAAATCTGCCATCTTGGTGTTATTAGTACCGTGCTCTAAGTGTGAACCTTACACAATCAAAACTACACCAAAGAATATATCAGTCTCTAACAGTGAAATTCAGCTGTCCCTGCCCGGAAGGCTAGTGTTTAAATATTCACAAAAGTACACCTTACTGCTAAGTACAGTCTTAAAAATATTGAGAAAAGCCAGAAATGCACCAGATTTCAATCCAGCGCAAATTAAAAGAATGAGCTTTCATAGCTCTCAAAATATTCTGTAGTCTCCTCCTGATAATTTTATTGTGGCATGTGTATGTACATAATTCCGATATAGCAAAACTGTTAGCACTTTTAAGGCTTAAACTGGGTAGACCTTTAAAGTTAAAATGCTAATAATCTGTGGCTCACTAAGGTGTGTGGCGTTATTGTATGGAACAATACTTCCCGCTCATTCCTATTGTTTTAATTAAATATTTTTCAACAACAAAGCCAAAATCTATTGAAGCCTTTTATAAAAAGACAATAGAAGTCAAATGAAAAGTAAAAGGCATGCCACTCTACAAAGCAGTATATTTTTGTTTAAGTAAAAGAATAAGTTGTTCCTTTTATGCTGCTCATTCTCTATGATAAAGTTTTCCATCTTTTCTCAATATGATTATATATAATTATATTCGTTATATATAATTATAATATAGTAAATATTAGTAATATATAATATTATATTAGCAATATATATTATATTAACATTTTAGTCATATATACTGTACAGTAATAGCATTTTTATAATTTCTACGTAAGTAGTGACCACTGTGTTCACTGTCCTGAGGGGCTGAATGATGTTTCTTCTGATCTGAAGTTTTTTTTTTTTTAATTGCTGGTAGTCCTGACCTACCCTTGGGCTTAGTACACAGGATGAACAAAGATGGTCTTAAAAGACAACTATAATTTCTTTATTAATGTGGACCATTGCTTCCAACGCTGTGTATGTGAAAATACAATGCACAACACAACACAAGAAAGCATTTCTGGCTGTTTGCAGACTCAGATAGTCACTGTCTCTTTAGCTTTCTACTAAAAGCTATATTCAATATTCTTACTCCCAAACACATCTTTTTCTACCCCAGAGATCCAGATATCTATCCCAAGGTTAAATTCTGGTTTAGAGTCAATACCAAACTTCCCATCAGCTCAAAGAAAGAAAAGGTGCCATTCTTTACTTTTGTCTGGGATTTTTTTGGTGTAAATTAACTGCCTCCAGAAGAAACCAGGCAGAGCCTAAATCCTTAATTGTTTAGAGCAAAGAGTATTTTTTGACCAAGGATATTTTAATTATCATTGGTTTTGGGGTATTTTTGGTTTGTTTTTGTTTGTTTGTTTGTTTTTGGGGTTTTGTTTTGCTTTTGTTTTTGTTGTTGTTATTTTATTTTGGTTTGGTTTGGTTTGGTTTTAGCAGGGGAAAATACTACTGGCACTTAGCCAGCCATTCCAGATACTGTAACAATGAGAGCAAGAAGTGCAGGTATACCTCTTTCTTCATCTGCCCCCCAGAAAAGAACCCTAATTTAACACTGGAGCTTCTAATAGTGAGTTTCCTCACCAGTGATAGATAGTCAAGCAACTTTGCTGAACATCACTCTTAGTAGACATTTGGTCATATGTATGTCTGGAATGAAAACCATACTATGCCCTGATCAGTCTAGAGAGAATAAATTTTTAATGGCAGAGACGTGCTGGCAGACCAATTAGGTTTCTTCCGTGTGACCATTTGGTTTGCTTTTTGTTTTAAAGTAGCAAATACATACAGTGGTTTCTGAAATACAATGCACAGGCTTACAAGCAATGCATATTAACATGCTACTTGGCCTTATTTTTGAATTTGTGGGAAATGCATTCTTTGTGGTGAATTGCTAATGAAAAATAAGGAATGAGAAAAGACAGAGGCAGTGTCTTAAAAAGATTCCAAAGTAATTTTTATTTGCACTGTGACATTTCAGTAAAAAGCCACACCCTAGCTCTAATAGCAGAAACCTAAGAGATAAACACAGCATTTTTATTTAATAAATTTCTGCCTGTATCATGGCCAGGATTTGTTTATCCCAATCCCTTGCAAATGTCTTCAAAATGTCCTTACATCTAGGCATGTGCTCATGAACATTGTACAGAAAGAGTAAACAAGCACGCACTTAAATTCTTTTCTGGATCAGGGTGTTGGACCACAGATAGTCTGTGCCCTGAGGTGTCACTGGTACTTAATTCAAGGTAATTGAAGGAGCTGTGTTTGCTGCAGCAGCACAGTTTGAGCAGCTAGTTGAAGCAGCTGTCATGCACAAGCAGCTGCTCACACATCCCAAGCTTTAGGTATGCCTACAGTTGGGGCCAGGAGGTCACCTGGGCTGTGTGCAAAAACAAACTGCATCTTTCTTTTTTTTTTTTTTTTTTTTTTTTTTTGTTTTTTTTTTTTTTTTTTTTTTTTTTTTTTTTTTTTAAATATTTTTTTTTTATTTTTGTACATCAGCTGATGCTTAAATTCAGTTAGTTTCCCAGGCCATAAGAGCATTTATGTGGAAATGGCTGAGAGGCTGTCAGAGGCACCTCAAGTGGGTGTTACTGGTGACAGATCTGCAGAGCATCACAGTCCAAAACTCCTGCATGTGCTAATTGGGATGGCATGCATCTGTGTTTACATGTGACACACACGCCTGAGCAGCCTCCAGATCATGCTTTTGCCTTTGTTACCTAACATTAACCTGCAGTGGGAAAGAAAGCCACCCCATACAGCCAAACACAGTGAAAGAAGCCGCCACAAAAGAAGTTTGCACAGAGTTCAGGACAGAATTATATTCACAGTCCTTTAACAGGCAGGTCAGCTCTGATTCACCCACTGTTGAGCATGAATTCAAAACTGATTTTAAAGACCATGAAATTTAAGCATCAGTATTTCTTACCATTTAAAATTATGAAACATCATAAAGCAAATAATAAAGGAGCAAAGGAACTTTTTTCATTGAGTTGAGAAAAAGTACTCTATCTGCATTTGAAAGGAAGTTTGCTTAGAAGGATTGATGTGGACTTCAGAGATTCATGAACACAGAGTCCCAATTATGCCTCCAGATAAAAAAGGGTTAGTGAACTTTGTAGTATGTTACTGTATAAAAGTGTTAGGTCAGCTGGAAGGGAAATATTGGGAATATATTACAAAGTGAAGTGGTTACATATCATTATCAAGTATAGTTAGCTAAAAGACAAAAATAAACAGGAAAGAGTAGAATTCTGTTCTCCAAATGCATCTTAATAATAATAATCTCATTTTGAATGGAGATAGAAAGTTAAACAAAAATAAATCTCTTCAACATTGAAAGGAGGTGAAGAGAAAGTACATGGCCACAACAGGGAGCTCTGAATTGTGCAAGGCCCCATAACTTTTGAAATAAAGGAGAGGATCATTTGAAGCCAGGCTGGAAAGTGTTAAATGATGGTTTATAAACCACTTTCCCCAATATGAAAGTATTTTTATAAGAGTGCAATCAAAACCCAAACTATTTAAAATGTGAGAATAAAGTGCTAACAAAATAGTAAAAAGTAGAGTGAGTTAGTCATAATGTTGGAAGAAAAAATGCAAAGGATTGGAAAAAATGAATGTTATTAATGCATAATTTTATTGAATTCGGTAAATAGGGATTCAGTCCCTCTCTCTGTGGGAACTGTAGCCCCACTGCTAGCCTTTTGACAGAAAAACAGCTGCTTAGGCCTTGGAAAGGAGGGATGCAGCAGTCCTTCTTCTCTTTGCACTCCCTTCCCAAGCCCTTCACTAGGCTGGAGGAAAGATGCAGGAGAAATCAATCCTGAAAATTCCAGTGAACCCTACTCCTCTGCACATAAGCATCCATCTGGGAAGAAGCTGGATAGACTGGGCCCCTCAGGAAGGCTCCAAAATTTGTAAAATTTTTTGTTTACATAGGTATATTTCTGATGTCTTCTAGGAAATATCAGGACAGCTTTGCTTTGGAACAACTGAAGGAAATTTAAACAACTTAGTTATAAACTGAATTCAGTGTATCCATTAAATTAGCTTTTTTTTTTTTTCAGGATGCCTTTGGGGAAGAAAACATATCCTGATTATTTT